TAAACCAGGAAGAAATAGAATTCAACAGTTAGGAAAGATTTTGTAATAGAGCCAGAAATTAGGGTTAGATATGATTTGCAAAAAGAGGAAAAACCTTTAAGGCTAGGAGACCAATATGACAGTCTTACCAATATCACAGGAAAGTATGCTAGTGAGAAAGAACTGAGGCAAAGTGTATACACTGAAAGAAGAAAAAAAAAGGGGAGAAGATGGAATTTAAAAACAAATCTTTGTTCAATGATGGAAACCATGAATGCCCAGCATAAGAAATGGAATCCATAAAACAGATTCAAACAGATATCCAGATTAAAAACTCCATTGAAAGCAGCAGAATGGGTCGATGTGAGGACAGAATATCAGATATAGGAGACAGGATTGCGGTTAGCCATCATTGAGAGATTTCTTAAAAATAGCAAGGGACCAAGAGAAATCAATCCGGCAGCTGCTAAATGATGGAAAGAATATTAAGATTCAATGGTTGGGCTGGAGATTTAGCTCAGCGGTTCCGGCGCCTGTCTCCCAATTTCGATCACCGGTACCAAAAGAAAAAAAGATTGATTGGAGTCAATGGAAAAGCAGGAAATAGCACAAATGACATTAAAAAAACACCTGTTCTCAGAAGTAATGGCAGAAACCTTCCCCAACAGGGAAAAAGAATTTGACATACAGATAAGTGAAGTATGTAGAACTTCAATTAGCCATAATAAAAAAAAAAATCCCCAAGGCATGTAACCGTCAAGATTCCAGAAATTCAAGACAAGGACAGAATATTAAAAGCTGTTAGAGAAAAGAAGCAAATCATCTGTAAAGGAAAACCCATCAGAATCTCAGCAGACTTCTCAACACAAACTCTCAAGTAAAGGTGAGCTTGGAGTGAAGTATTTAAGCCCTAAAGGAAAACAATCTCCAACCCAGATTGATGTACCCTGTAAAAACAAATCTTTGTTCAATAATGTGTAGAAAGACCATTGTAGTTCTTTAAGCATGGACAGAATGAAGCAGTCATTTAAACCACTGCATACAGTATAGGCCTGTATATAGGGACTGATTTACATCAGAATTTGATAGTACTGATGGCTTAAGTAGAGCACAATAATTTGGTAACTCATGTAATGCTGTTAAATAATTGTTATGTACTGGGCCAGGGATTTAGCTCAGTGGTGCCGCACCTGCCTTGCAAGTGCAATGTCCTGAGGTCGATCCCCAGTACAAAAAAAAAAGAAAGAAAGAAATTGTTATGTATTGAAATTTCAAGATTCCAAATTTAAGATTCTGAAAAAAATCTCAAGATACATTTCAACCTGGTACATGAAGGTATGTCAAATATATATTACAAGGAAAACAGAAAATTAACAAATGGGTATATCATTTATAATGCAAAATGTATAAATTACATCCTTCAGTTAAATAACATTATTCAATTCCATTGAAAAACTGTTTCTTCAAATTTCCAAATTAGTAACAAATAATACTTTCTCCCATACAAAATAATGACAGTGATTTCTTTTAATTTGCTGGATACTTCAGTTTGTAAGAATTGTTTTATAGTCTCCCTTTAAAAGAAGCAAGCAGAAAGAATATAGCAAATATTGTTTTTTCTTTTTAGAGATGATGCTAGGGTAAGTGTGAAAACTATTTTAGCCAAAGCTGATAGAGCAAAGCTATTCTCAAGCTGTAGGCCAAGTAATGCAACTGGGGAAAATGGGGTATGGGTGAAGGGGGAACAGAAACTTCATTATTTGAGATGAATGTGATAGCTTGAAACTCTGGCTTTTAGGAGTCAACATGTCCGTGTATCTCTGGCATACTTGTTTACAAGAAGAAAGCAAGCATTTAAGGAGGATGGTCCATTCATCCTAAACACATCCTACATACCACTTTAGGTATGGATGCCACAAATGTTTGTAAAAGTACCAAAAACTATTAAGTTCACCAATGATTTTTTTTGTGCTGCAGAGTTTTTAACCTTTGAAAATGATTGTTTTACATCATACACACCTCATTTTTATAAAATAAAGAATAGTGGGAAGAGCACCAGCCCAGGAATTAGGAAACACAGGTTCTAGCTATCATTCTATTTCAGTGAGCTCTTAAGGCCCTGGCTCAATTTTAAGTGAAAACAATGAAATTATTAGATGCAGAGCTTTTCCAGCAAGAATATTATACTAAATCCTCCCTTTCTTCTGCTACCTAGATTTTTGAGGGCCATCACATGCTATGTTAACATTAGCTTTATATAGTTAGGTATGATTCTTTTTCTCTTTGCTCTATAGAAAAAAGAAATCTAATTTCATATTCCATCAAAAATACTAAGAATATTTAACCATTCTGTATGACATCTCTGAAGGCAAAAAAAAGTAAATCTTTTGGGAACATTACTGAAAACACCTAAAACAGCATCACACAGACAGGAAATTTTAACTAACAAATATTTTAAAATTTTAAAACCAAGAAACCCATTGGAAAGTTATACAGTTTGTGTCACCCCTGGTCGAAGATTAGGAGTACATGCAATTCCTGCATTTACTGAGATTATCTTTTCTACCCTTTTGCCTACGTAGTTCTTGGCTTTGAAAAAAGAAAGGACTGATCAGAGTTACTGAATGAATGGAAAAATAAATGAAAAAAACATAAGGAACAGCTCAGTGTGTATGAAACAAATACAAAATATTTGGGAGTAACGTGAATTTCTTCCATTCATACATGTATGTTCTACACTTTCTTTTCTAAATAGCCTAAAGGTGATTGATATCCTACATATGAACTCCTTGGTAGCTTTCCTCTGTGCATGTAATAAAATCAAACTTCTCCATACACCCTTAAAGGCCTTGCACGAACTAGCCTTAGCTTACTCCACCCTCAGTCTCACCATCTTTCAGTAACTTGAAAGCATGACATTGTTTCCACTTTAGGGCTTGCACCCATGTTTTATTTCCTCTTTATTCCAGTCTCAAATGCTACTCTTTTAAAGAGATCTTCTGAACCCCAAATCTAAATTATTTTTCCCCAGCACCCAGTTCTTGACACTTACAGCTGAAAACTGTGATCCATGCCAAGTATTCCATCTGTGTGTTTACTTGATTAAAGTCTACTGTGTTAAAAAGATTTAAGATTGAAGCTCCATGAGGTCAGTGACCATGTGTTTTCTTCAGGACTCACATGGACAATAATCTATTAACAAATGAAAGGGACAGGAAGAACCTGCAGTTATACAATTAAAGACTCCACAAAATATAAATTGAGATAATAACCAAAATAGTTTTTGTTTTGAGTCAAGAATTCAAAATATTAATGTAATTTATGGCTTGAATTCTTCTGGAAACTGTGATACTTAAATTGTTTTTAGCTACACTAAACTCTACATTAGAAAAACCCACCTTCTAATTACTTAAAATCTCTAATAAGACAGCTAACTAGAAAGACTATTAAGGTGAGGTCAATCGCATGTACAACTCACTAATCTGCTAAATATAATATTTTACCTGGCTAACATCCATTAACTGTAACATATAAAATCAAATTCCTGATTTAAAGTATTAACACTAATTTATACATATAAAGTTATTTTAAGCATTCCCTGACAAGGCTGGAAAACCTTTTTTAGAAGGGTCATTTGGATGGTGGGAGAAAAAAAAAGTGACATGCTGGGCCAGGGATTTAGCTCAGTGGTACCGGTGCCTGCCTTGCAAGCGCAAGGTCCAAAGTTCGATCCCCGGTACCAAAAAAAAAGTGACATGCTTCCTAACTGATTAATTTGGAAAGATTTTAGAGAACTTGGGCCTCATGAATTATTATTATTATTTGTTTGCAGTGGTGGGGATGGAACTCAGGGCTTGGTATACAGTAGGCAAGTGCTCTAACACTGAACAACATCATAAGCCTCTTCATGAATTATTTTGAAGAGATAATGTAAGTGTGGTATTGTCAAAAACTAAACATTCTTGTATATTTTAGCATTTCTTTTGAGATGTAACAAGCTTCTTAAAAGGTACAGTAATAAAATTTACACTTGAACCATTCATTTTTAAACGAGCATTTCTTAAAAGAATGAGTAATTTCTTCCTGTAACCTGAGGTACAGCATATGTTCCCAAGAAAAAATATTTTTAATCAATGTCCTAAACACCATGAAAGCAGCAATTTTGCCTTTATAAGTTTTCTTTCTTGGGTAGTCAACTGTAACTGTTGAAGACCTCACCAGTGGAGCTTATCCTAGCTCAAACATATGGGATACTCAGCTGATATCCCAAATCTTCCCTCCTTTTTGACCTTCCTCACCAACATCAAGGAATATAAGCAACTGTTACGCAGATCATTTTCACATTCTTCCTGACTGGGAGGAAGTAAATGTTGGCTCAAAGTTCCTGAACAATGACCTTCCTCTCTTGCTTTTATGCTCTACAGTGCCATTATCATCTAGCATCATCATTAGAAGCAGAAACTCAGACTTCAACCTAGCTCACTCTTTCACTATGGTAGGGACAAAAAAAAGTTGTATGTACAGATTGATACTTAATGCTAGAGTTGCATATCTCAGTTGCTTCAGTTTATTTGCCACTTTACTAATTTCTTAGCAGCTCTTAAAAATCAATTTGGAGTAAAATAAAGCATGACAAAGTTTACATGAGAAAAATACAATAGTTTAAACAATAAAATGTTGAAAATGTTCAGCCTTAACTAGATTTTGTTTTAAAACAGTAATAATTTACTACATTATTTTTGCATATGTGGATAAAGTTGCCTTTTTATGACTATTTTTTGGGCAATGATTTGAGCACTGATGCTAGTTTATCATAAAGTTCTTACTACAGTATTTGGCAAAATGAAAACAGCTATGAACAAATTAGTTTATTTAAAGTGATGCCTTCTATTAAAAAATCATGTTGTTCTTACTTTTCTAAGTTAAAATATCTTTTGGTGGACAATAAAATCTTTTGTAAAACAATAGCACTAAGTGCCAAGTTATATTTTTCTGAAGTGATTTTACTAGGCAAAACTTACCGAGCTTCCTCCTCCCATTTTTGAAATTTCACTTCTCTCAAGACATCAGGTTTTCAAACTCCTATACCAGGGCTTGAAATAAGACATAAATACATTCAAATCACAGCTTAGTCACTTCTAGTTTTCTGACTTTCTGTAAATTCTGCACAGTTGATGGAAAGATTAAATGCGAGAACATTTAAAATTTGCACATAATAAATAAAGAAAAAGATGTTCTCTAACTTGGGAGATGTATATTTGATCTCTTTCTGGACCTTAGAAGTCAATTAAATCCCGAAGGGCTTTCCACTTCCTGAGAACAAGTTTCATTCCTCAGGAACAACCCCCGCCCTCCCCTATTCTGGGTGGTTCCATTACCAAAAGCATCTTCAGAGACTCCAACTACTTAGCTGTCCCACATGTAGATCTATTTCCTGTATCTTCAGCCTCTTTTTGGCAGGTTTCATCTCTTTGGTTTATAAACATATTCAAGATTCTCCTTTAAAAAATTACATATATATAAACCTAGAGTCTAATTCTTTATCTGAGAGTCCTTTAGAATCAAATTTCTTTAACTCTCTCAGGTCCAAAATGGTAATCTAATATTCATCATCAACTCACTCATTATTCAGGATCACTGACAGTGTTTAATAATTTCAAAATGCAAATAGTATTTTCAGTTTCCAACTGTTTCATGACCACTTGGGCATGTAACATCTCTGTCCTTTCCTCCCTTCTTGCAACTAAATTCCAACCTTGTTTTTTCTGATGGCCTTGTCCTTTTTTTTTGGTACCAGAGATCGAACTCAGGACCTTGCACTTGTGAGGCAGGTGTGGTGCCACTGAGCTAAATCCCCAGCCCTCTGATGGCCTTGTCAAAGGTTTTTATTTTTAATACATTTGTCCTATTTTTTAATCCCATTCAAACTCAGGTGTTTACCACTTATTCACTAATAAATCCTAAGTTTAGAGTACTAAATCTGTTAAGATTTCAGATCTCTCCCTTACATTCCAGTCCCTGGATAACTTAATTGATACCTTTTTTTCCTTCTCATATAATTTATTTATTTATTTTGGCGGTATCAGGGATCGAGCTCAGGACCTTGCACTTGCCAGGCAGGAGCAGTGCCACTGAGCTACATCCCCAGCCCAACATATAATTTATACTTATTTATCTATCCCCCTTCCTCCTCCACCCTTACTCATCAAGTCAAGGCTATTTCCTGTTTATCTTTTTCCAATCCTCTTGGCCACATCATTTCATTGTTATAAAATCATTCTCTAATATCTACTTCATACCCTTCTAATTCATACTCTATATTGCTAAGTGTTGTAACTCGCCTGTTAAGATCTTTCAATCTTATAAGCCCTCTTGAATAAGCATAAATTCTCTAGCATGCCATACATGATTTCTTCCTACTTCCTGGTCTCTAGTCTTATTTCTGAGAACTTCTCTATCTACTGGACTTGCTACTGGATAAGAGACATATTACTTTTTTCTGCTCCTCTGCCTCTGCACATACTGTTCATTCTTTGTCGGTGAAATCCTCCCCAACTCACCACTCCCCATTCAAAAAAAGCCCAAAAAACCTCCCAAACAATTGCCTGCAGTGGTGGAGCACACCTGTGATCCCAGCTAGTCAGGAGGCTGAGGTAGGAGAATGGCAAATTCCATGCTCACTCAGCCAACTTAAGCAAACCCTATCTCAAAAAAAAAAAACAAAAAACCAAACAAACCTGAGACCAGGGATTTAGCTCAGTGGTTCTGGCCGCAGGTCTTGAAAGTGCAAGGTCCCACAGTTAGATCCCCAGTACCAAAATACAAAAACAAACCTAAAAACCAAAATGTAAACTGTGGTGTTTCAGATATAAGCCTGCCATCACAAGTTACTAAATAATATTATTTTCTTTGATGTGCAGAGAATAATTTTTACTTTTGTGGGTGGGAATGACAGACTTAAAGAGTAAGAAATTATCAGCATACTAACCAAGACACTAATCAGAAGCAAAATATCAAGGTCATAACCTGCAGATGGCATTTTCAGGAAAAGTTTATTACGTGAACTATGTCAAATGATTCTGATTTTTCAAAACACATTTAAAACAATCTACTACATTCAGAAGCAAAGCAAGTTTGTGGCCACTGGATAAACTGGTAACATCTTTTGATGGGACCAGAATAGACTTGAACACACCAAGTTAATGGGGCTCTTTCAATCCCCTTCCTTCTTTTTTATTATTATTATTATTTTATTATTATTTTTTGTACCAGGGATCGAACTCGGGTCCTTGTGTTTTCAAGGCAGGCGGCGGAACCACTGAGCTAAATCCCCAGCCTCCCCTTCCTTCTTTATCCAGATCTACAATGAGCATGTACTCTATTTCCTTTCTTTTTCTCCTTTGTGGTGCTGGGGATGAAAACCAGAGTCACTTACACACTAGACAAGAGCGCTCCCACTGAGCTATGCCCCCAGCCCTGTGCCTATTTTCTTAACCCTAATATTTCATGTGATATAATAAATCTAATATATGCCAAGACAGCGATAATGAGTATCAATTCTTTAGCTGCATATAATATTTTCAAGAGTAAAGTCTTTAATTTTCACCTTTTCAAACACCAGGAAGCTTCATGGCGGGAACTAAAATAAAGTTATAAATAGACTTTTCATTGCATATTTTCTAGTGATTTTCCAATATGACCTATGTTTTTGCACTTATACTTTAATGATGGTCAATTTTAGCAATATTACAGAAAAGGGAAAACACCAACACGGGGAAAAAGCCAAATGAAATCAGATTTGATCCTAATTTGCTTTGATTTTCTCTGTTACTTTCTATGATTAGCTGCTTCAGTTCCTTTAAATGCAAGATGATGCATACCCACTGCCTTCATCACAAAGGTGATGTGTACGTTAATGTGCCAATTCCTGTAATACAATCTGAAACTCAAGCACAAAGACTCTGTATACAAAACACTTTCTCAACAAATTTGCATGATTTTCAAAGAAAAAGGGTATAAAATGCCTTACAGAAGATAAAACTGAGTCACTATATATTAATGAAATATATAACGGCAATGACTGGTTCTTCCCATCTATATTTCAGAATAGATGCGACAAACATTTATCAAATACTGACAGATAATTATAAGCTGTGATATAGATTACGAAAATAAAGTAGAGTGCTTTATGAAAACAAAGTAGGGGGCAGGAGGCAGCACCATTTATTTACTTGTCATCTGTTTTAATCCTAATAGTTCTTTGCTTAGGCTATCACCCTTGTACAGAGGAAATCAGAGCTTCAGCTGGTAATTTGGCCAAGTTCACACAACTTCTAAGTGGGAGAGCCAAGAACACATATTAAATACTATATTCTGTCCACTTGATTTTGCTAGTATCTACATACCCAATGATCCCACTAAGAGCGCATCTTTGTCCCCCCCCCCGTTTAATGAGGCTGAATAAGACATCCTATTTAATAGGTCAAACTGCTTCCTTTGATCCCTCTCTCTTCTACTTATTGCAAAGTATTTACCACTAACACACAGTACATTTTACTTGTATGTGTACTAGGTGGCATAATTCAGGTGAGTGGCGGCGAACTTAGGTGGCACAGCCGGCTGTTTGTTATCGCTGAAAACTCTTAAAAAGTTCGCATTCACTGTTCTAGGAAGTTAGGAATCTGCTTGTTTTGTGCACAGATGTATTTGTCCCCTCAACACACCTGAACAAAAAACCCCGACTACAGTGACTGACACATACAAGGTAACTATTGACTCATTCTTTCTTCCCACTTTTCATCTTTAGCTGTATGCAAGAATTTCCTTAATCTTCACTTTTAATTCCTGAGAAAACAAAATAGAGCTATATCTGAGCCAAATTTACACTTAAATAATAGATGTATTCTAAAATTATTTTGTTAAAAAAAGGGGGGCCTGAAATGATGAGTATCATTTAAAAAATTTTAGCCAGCTAAAAAGTAAAGATAAGCAAAAACAAACCATGAAATGTAGAGGATGCAGATGATGATCAATGGTTATATTTAAGAGTTCCTGGTATGTCCTATTATTTAGAGGTTAAATGTCAGCCACAGACGAAACACAAGAATCAGAGTATCCTTTATGTTAAATGCATGGGGCCAGAAAGCTTTGATTTTAGAGGTTTTTGGATTTTGGGAATATTTGCATGGTTTTATCAGTTTGGGCACTGTTAATCCAAAAATCAAAAATCCTTAAATGCCCCCAAACCAAAGTCTTTTGAGAGTCACATTGGTACTCAAAGAGTTTCAGATAATAAATTTCAGGTTTTTGGATTAGGGATGCTTCACTTGTATTCTAAAACAATGCTTCTCAACCTTAAGGATTCTAAAAAACCTATTAAACTTTTAAAAAAGGATTGGGGTGTTAAAGTTGCCAAATTTTAATTTTATCACAAAGGGATATTAAGAACTAAACACAGTTATTACTATAATTTTATCAGAGAATATTAACACAAAAAGGCAATTTCAGTTTAACAAAAAGTAATTATTTTTGTGAAGTAAATTTAATTCACAAGAACCCCATACAAAGTTTCGTGTGAATTTTAAGATCTAAATATGAAAAATTAAAATTGTTAAGACTTTATTTAAAAAGAAAAAACAAGCCAAGAAAGAATAAACTGATATTAAAATTAAAACTTTCTACTTACTAAAAGATAACTTAAAGTGCAAAGGCAGGCTAAAGACTGAAGTTTCAAGGGCCGGGGATTTAGCTTAGTGGTTCTGGTGCCTGCTGCGCAAGCTCAAGGTCCAAGTTCAATCCTCGGTACCAAAAAAAAAAAAAAAAAAAACCAAAAAAACCCCCCAGGATATCAGGTAGTTTCATAATTGATGAGGGAGAATGGGAAGTGACTAAAGACTAAAGACTCAAAGCTTACTAAGTACTGTTATGCAGAATATATAAAAATAATTACAAAACAGTAAAAAAAGGTAACACTGAGCAGGTAATTCACAGAAAAAGAACCTGAATGGCCAATAAGTGAAAATATTAACCACATAATTGGGAGATGCAAAAGAAAACTAGAATGAGGTTTCCTACTTCTTAGAATGGCAAAAACTGAGAAGTAAAGTAACTGTAAGGTGGAAAAGCATCCTCTCATCCGTAACTGGCATAATCACTTTGGAGAGAGCACTGTACTACCAGTTATCTAATAAAGTGGAAGACACACCTTGCAGTCTAGAAAGTTACTATCAGATTTATATTCCAGGATAATCACAACATTTTGGTCATTATAATGGGGATACTACTAGATTAGAAGTCAGGGATGCCAGGCACTCTTCCCACATAAAGATAATGCTGTTCTGTGTCCTATGACTTTTAGCTACTATGCTAGACAAGAAGGGAAGGGAATAGGGAGAGGAAAAAACGAAATCAACACTAACATCAGCTACTTCTAAACAAGACTTAACACCAACATATTTGTATTAAAGGAAATGATGACTATTTTAAAGAACTGAACCAATACAGAAAAAAAGAGATCACACATTTTTGTCCAACTTAACTGGGAATAGGTTAGAGAATAATTTCTTTTAGAAACTCATTTTTCATCAACAATGTCACTTGTGGTACAAGAATGGCCACTTCAATATAACTATACTCTAGTAACTGTTGTACTGACAATGATACATACTACCTACTGGGGCAAAGTACCTGACTACTACTCCTAGCAGTGCTTCTTGGACTTTATTGTGCACACACACGGCCTGGAAATATTAACCCAGAGGCCTGAAATTCCACATTTTCAACAAGCTCTCCATGCCACCTTAGTGTCGGACTTGGTAGCAAGACTTGAGTGTAGTTGAGGTCAAGCAGTAAAATACATACTACGTTAATGCTTAAATTTTAATAAGTATTTTTAAAAAGTAAATGTTTATTATTGGGATTCTCATTTTGTGATAGTATAGGAGACATTAAGTCATAAGTAACTTTCATTCTCCAACTCATTGGCTTTGAGAGGCAAATATGGCATTGCATGTGAGCAATTAACAGGATAAAAAGGCGGGAGTATGTAACTGAGAAAAGAAAAACCTCAGATTAGAAATAAAGTCTACAAATAAACCAAACCAGTCAATAAACTCGTCATCTAAATATAGAATGCCAATACTAACACGGGAGAAACTGAGTTCATCAATTAGTAGTCTTAAATTAATATTACATAACCAGAACAACTATTACTTATATGATTCTCATTGCCTTTTCTACAAAGTGAGCTGGTGGCACATTCTATTAGCGCTGTATTACAGATGGAGAAACTAGAATCGGTCTCAGGTGTGGAGTTGGAGACAAATTTTGTAACAGAGTTTGGAACAGACACCAACTGCCTAATTCTACTACATTCACTAAGCTACGAAAACCATCACTTTGCTATTATGCTCTACAGTAATTGTGTTCCACGAAATAAAATCTTTATCCCACGCTATTTAATATGCATTTCAAAAATTAGCAAAGACACTCAAGAAAACAAGCCACAGGGCCAGAGTTCTGTGGTTCCACGGCCTGCCCGGAAGGCGCAAGGATCGGAGTTCGATCCCAGGTACCAAAAGAAAAAAAAAACAAGCCACATACTGTATCAGCTTTACTACTCTACAGCAAGGGACTGCTGCAGATTAAATTAAAACTGCCTAGCCTGGTGAAAATCTAATCCTACCCTTGCCAATTAACCTTATTAATACTAGAGCAGGAGAAAATAGAGATCAAAATATGGATAAGGGTGCTATTCACTTCCTTCTTCCTGAATCTCAAATAACATAGCATGTAAAGCACAAGAGAGACTTTATATCTTTTACAGGTTGTAACATGATTACCTTCACTTCTTCAAGTAATGCCACTACCTCTTCTCCCAAGATAAAATTTATCAATAAACACGGACTTGGGCAGTCACTATTAGTACACTGGCAGTCATGCTAATTACCAAAATACTGTATTGGCTATGATGAGGTATGTTACCCAACCGAGTGCATGCAATAAACACACGAAAGCCCATGAATTGTAAATCTCCCTTTTAATGTAAAACAAGTATTATCATAATATGTAATTTTCTACTCAGACTCATTAGGTAGTCTCTATTGCTGACATAAAATTCTTGTCCAAAATTATTTTTATTTATTGGAGGCTGACCAAAAAGCCAATGAACTATCTTATGGATCAAGCATTACATCTATTTTTTAAAGTATATAGAATTGCCTTTCATAAACTCACACCCAAAATTTAAAGTTTACCCTCTCTGTATTCCGTTATTCATCCCTTGGTTACCAAATCTACTTCACAGACTTAAAGCATCAATTAAAAAAATTCTTTATTGCCATTGGCAGAAATCTCTCCATGAAAAAAAGCTCTTAAAATTAAAAAACAAGAAGCTGAGGTTAGACTCTCCTTCACCAACGTCCTCCACACAACACAATCTGATTTGATACAACTTTGTTTCCAGGTAAACTACAACTAAAAAACAAACAAAACCCACCTATGTTCAATTTTCCAATTAAAATCGATTCCTGATAAGCTTGCCCTAGAGTCCTTAAGATTCAACTTCAACCATGAAGAGCCAGCCCGACTAGAATACACAAAATCCGTGCAGATTCCATCTAAAATCCTGGCGGGCAGGACCTACAGTCAGCAAAACGCTTTTAGGCATCCGCGGATCTCGGAGAGCCATGGAGGAGGATGTGAACGTGAGCCCATCTTTCGGGCCGGTGGGAGAAAGGAGACGGCAGCGGAATGCACCCCGGTCGGCGAGGACCCGCGTCTCCTCGAGTCCATCTCTCCGTCCCTCGGCCCGCGGGGACCCAGCACCGTCCTCCCCCCGCCCCGGATGCCCTCAGTAGCACAACCGGCCGCAGCGGCTGCGGCCTCCCGCGCCCAGAAGGGTCCGGGTCGCGACAACAAAGCGGCCGGTGCCCCTCCCCCGCCGCCCGGCTCAAGCTCCCGCGCCGCGGCCCGGGCCCAGCGCCCCCTCCCCGAGCCCCGCCGCCCGCCCGCAGCCCCACGCACCTGCACCTGGACGGCCACGGCCGGGCCGCCGAGCCGGGAGGGTCGGGAGAGGACGCCCGCCGCCGCCGCGCTGCGCTCCACGAGCTGCGACCCGCGCTCCGGCAGCCGGCTGCTCCACGCCCGCGGACGGCCCGGCCGAGCGGCTGCTGTAAGGGCTGCGGAGCCCGGCGCCGGGACTCGCGCTCCCAAGTCTCCTCCGCGCGGCTTGCGTTCTGCTGACTAACGGCCCGGGCGCGAGGCGCTGGAGCGGCCGCCGTCGCCGGGGGCTCTCGGGCCTCACGTCCCGCGCGGCCGTGGTCGCAGCCGCCACCTTCTTCCCTGGCACTGCAGACAACACCCAGTCCCAGCCAGGTCTTTCTTCTCCTTAATCCTCTTTCTCTGCTCCTCCGCAGCCCGCCAAGCGCCGGGCTCGCTTCGGCAGCGGGTGGGAAACCGGCGGGACGCAGAGGGGGCGTGCTGAGCGCTCACTAACCCGAAGTTAGCCACTGACTGGAGGAAGGTGCTAAAGCTGACCCGGGCTCCAGCCTGCAAGCAAGACGGGGGGGAACCGAGCCAGCCTCGCCCAACTTCCACCAATCACAAGCCACCCAGCAGCGTCGGTAGCGCTCCGCGCTCGCTGAGAGGCTGAACAGGCTCGGCAGGAGGCGGGGATTGCGGAAAAGAAGAGCCAATCGGAGTAGAGGGTCCCCGCCCCTCCGCCGAGATGAACTGCCACTTTCGAGCCAATAGGGGGATTCTCAATTCGAAGCAACCGGGATTGGTTCCCTCGGTTTGAAAAGGAGCCTGCGCGCTGGGCCTCAGCGGCACCTGGGCCGCGTGGAGAATCCCGTACCCGGAGCCGGAGGGCGGGAGGTCGATCTTTGACCTCCGCTGGGAGTCACGTGTGCAGACTGGGAGCGGAAAAGCTGGGTAAGTTCCTTCCGGGTCACTGGCCTACGCGTCCGCGCCGCGAGGCGAGCTCCTGGGTTTTCCGTGTAGCCTTTTCACTGCACCTGGTACAAGCTGGTGGCGATTCCGGCGATGAGCTCCCAGAAAGGCAACGTGGCTCGTTCCAGGCCGCAGAAGCACCAGAATACGTTTAGCTTCAAAAATGACAAGTTTGACAAGAGTGTTCGGACCAAGGTAGGAGCCTGCTGTGTAGACTGACTCCAGAAAGAAATGACTCATTAGATGAGGGGTGAGGTTATGAGAGTCGACAAGGGCGATTGTGGACCGCAGCCTAGTCAGTCCTGGCTGCAGTGCTGCCCTTTCCAAAATGTTATTCCCACACCCTTTCTCTAACCTGGGTATGTTGTGTCGCAAATATATCTATCTCATGGTCAACACACCTAACTAATTGCAGAGTGGACAGGACGCTCCTCGAGAGCTAAAGTACAAGAGAGGAAACAGTGTTTGAATGTTCCCGGTCGGATCACGCATTTGCAGTAGTTATTTGTACTACAATGTTGATTCAGAGCCGGGAGTGGGGGCGCACGCCTGTGATCCCAGCACCGGGGAGGCTGAGGCAGGAGGATCACCTAAGTTCGAGACCAGCCTGGACTACATAGTGAGACCCTGTCTCAAAATAAAATAGAATATAATAAAATCTTGATTCTGTCAAGGCAACCTACTTTCCCTTACTGGAGAGGCAGCAATGTATAAATGAAAACAACATTGAACTTAGAGAAGCGAACCATACTTTAGCCTCAATTCTATTGCTTATTTTGCTTTGGAATATCAGACAATTTGCCTAAATTAATACTAAATTAATTCAGTATTATCTCTTGTCTTAATTTCAGGATTGATGTTGCGATCATTATAAAGATATTTCTAAGAAATAGTGATACAAATATGAAGAATAAAGTATGCAACTTATATAAACCTGCATTTGCTCAAAGCCTAACAGATTAATTAGAAAAGAAATGCATACTTGTCAAGGAATATTTGAAGAATTAGAGGAGCATATAAAGTATGAAAATGGAAGTCATTTCCTAGTCCTAGTCCTACGCAGGTGTAGTCACTGTTAACATTTTGATGTGTGTGTGTTCTAGACATCTATGTACAAGCCAGTCTGTCTATAATAATATACACTTTTTCCTTCTCATTCAGCGAAGCGGTGGTGTTAGAATAGATACTGTTTTCAATGGGTTTACTATGTATAAATGCAGAGTAACTCATTTAATAGCTTTTGTCATGTTAATAAATAATTGCAGTGTCTTCAGTTTTTTCACTGTGTGAAAAAACAATTCTTTTGAAATTCTTTTATTGATGTATTTCTTCCACATCTAGTATCTGGTACCAAACATGCAAGATGCTGGGTTATATGGTTAGGAAAAAATTAGTAACTGCCTTAATTGAACTTATAATAGTTTGGGCACTAATCAAATAATATTTCAAGTATGTTAATGATGGTAGTATCTCCCAGCGGTCTCATCCGTCTCTCTGTTCCTGCTTGTCTGTGTGTGCCCTTAACCCACTCCCCTCCCGCATCACTGTCTCTGCCTCATGTTGTTTTTACTAGCATTTCTTGAAGTGTATTCTGTAGGGTTCCAGGGCCACATGATCTTGATCGGGCAAGAATAAGCTCATGGTCAAATTACTTCGGAAATAATGTATACTAGATCTCACTTTGAGGGAGGATATAGTATGCATTGCCATAAAGCACTGAGATGTTTACTGCTTTAAAAAAATTATTTAACTTAGACTTTCTTAGCGTATGGAATTCTTTTGTTTATACAATACCCATTAAACTTCTTTATTATGAAACACACTCTTTGGGAGACTGATCTTTACCTTGATTTGGATATGGAAAGTGACATAGTCTGGGGCTATACTCTCTAAATAGTTTTGGAAATGTAGTTATGTTAATAATAGCAAATATTTGTGTACTTAAGTATGTTATGTACTATGTCTACTTTATACAAATGATCTAATCTTCAAAATAACCCTATGATAGATGGCATAATTATCCCATTTAACCTACTGGGAAATTAGGACTTAGGGGAGTGAATAATGTGTCCAAAGTTGCATAATGTTGGTCTCCTGAAGTTGATTTTCATAAGAGTGGGTTGTTACAAAGTGAGGTCACTGCACGTGCTTGTTGCCCTCTGCATCCTTTGTACGCAGCTTTCCCTTTTCTACTCCTAGCTGAGCTGTGAGGTAGCAAAGGGAACACTCTTCAGAGGCTGAACAGGTGGGGTCACCAGATCTTGCTCTTTCAGACTCCCAAACTGTGAACCAAATAAACCTCTTTTGTTTATCAAGTGTCTACCCTCAGGTAGTAGATAATAACAGAAATCAGACTAATACAGCCCCTAACACTGCCTGCTTGAAATGTTCTAGAGTCTCATTTCAGGACACGTGGCCTTGCAGTGTCATGCATCACAGATGTGGGAGGTTGGGTTGGATCTCATCTAATCAGCCAGGGTACTGTTGCTGAAGCACCTTCTACCCACTTACTGTAGAAGTAGATGCTAATTTAGTCCAATCCCTCAGCTTCTTGTTTGGTTGAAACAGGAAGAAAGTGGTCCTAAGTTTAAGGTGCTGTGATTACATTTATACAGCAGAACAAGACTCTGTTTACAAGCTTCTTCATTGACAATAGCACAAAACAGGAAAACCCCCAAATATCTGTCAGCAAGAGATTGATAAGCAAATCATGGCAGATGCATACGATGGAATACTACTATGCTATTTTAAAAATGAAGTGCTGATACATGTACTCCAAGTGAATCTCAAGAACATATGGAGGAAAAAATACTGACTTCTGCTATAGAACTAGGAACTATACTTGCCTTGGGTACTGAGGAATTGACTAGAAGAACCCAAAGAGACTTTCTAGGGTGATGGAGGCAGTGAAGATTGCAGAAGTGAATATATTTATCACATTTCTTTGAATTGTACATTTAAGGCCTGTGTGTTATGTTAGTGTAAATTTTACCTCAATTAAAAACAGGCATTGCAGCCAAAAGACTGATTACCAGTCAGGTGTATTGAAGCTCTGTTCTCTGTTTATGTTTTGGAGAAATTGCAGGAACATATATCAGTCCTTTGTAAAAAGAAAACTGTATTATTGTTCAGGAATAAACAAAAACATTAATAGGTGTCAGGTACTGAATATCTTAGACAACCACAATAACTATAATTCTAATAATTGTCTTTTAAGTTTTACCCTCCTTGTATGCCTTTATCTTCAAACTCTAGTCATGACACTTGACTTATTTCTCTGTATAAAAGGTACAAATAGGGGCTGGGGATTTAGCTCTGGTTCCACCACCTGCCTCGCAAGCACAAGGACCCAAGTGTGATCTCCGGTACCAAAAAAAAGAAGAATGGATTTAAATTAAAAAAAAAAAAGGTACAAATAACAATTATACAGTGGATTGTTTTTTTCCCATTTAGTTTATTGGCACATTTTCGGTATACAATACAGTTACATTCATCATTGGGATCTTGTACCATTACATGAGTATCTTGGTTCTTATTTTTTCCCGTTCCCTTGCCCTCCCTTCACCCCCTCCACCCATCCCTATTTACAAAGACTTTGTTTCCACGTTTTTCCTTTTCTCATATTTTTTCTTTTCCCTTCTTTCCTTTCCCCTTCCCCTCCCACTTCCCCTATTCCTTTAGACATTTTCTTCCTATTTCACAATATCAATTATACATTTTGATTCTTATTTACTCTTTTAGTTTTTCACACCAGAGAAACTATTCGGTATTTATACATTTATGTCCTATTTAATTTCACTTAAGAGTATGGCCTCAATGTGCATCCACTTAGCTATAAATGTCTTTAGTTTCTCGTTCTTTATGGCTGAGTAGTACTCCACTTTATTAAAAAAAACACATCTTCTTTACCCAGTCTCCAGTTGATGGGCAATTGGGCTGTTTCCACGTTTTAGCTATAAACATGGGTGCACATATATATCATGGTGCACATGTATAATATGATTCTTTTCATTCTTTTGGGAAGATACCCAGTAGAGGAGTAGCTGAGTTAAATGAGACTTCCAATCCTAGTTGTTTGAGATATCGCCATATTGATTTCCACAGTGGTTGCACCAGTCTGCACTCCCACCAAAGATGAAGAAGGGTTCCTTTCTCTCCACACCCCCTCCAGCATTTGTTATTGGTTGATTTAATGATAGTAGCCATTCTTTCTGGGGTGAGGTGGAATTTTAGCGTTGTTTTCATCTGCATTTCTAGAATGACCAGTGATGCTGAACATTTTTTCATATATTTATTTGCTGCTTTTACTTCTTTGGCTGAGAAATGTCTGTTCTTTTCAGATGCCCATTTTTGAATTGGATCTTTATATTTGGGGGATCTGATTTTTTTAAGTTCCTTATATATTCTAGATAGTAGTCCTTTGTCTGAGGTACAGCTGGTAAAAATTTTTTTCCACATTGTGGGTTGTCTCTTAGCTCTGTTGCTGGTTTCTCTTGCAGTGCAGAAGCTTTTTAATAAGATGAGATCCCAGTTGTTGATTCTTCGTGCTAGTTCCTGTGCTACTGAGGATTTGTTCATAAAGTCCTTTCCTACTCCAATGCTTTAAGTGTTGTACCTACCTTGTCTTCCAGCAAGTTTAGTGTTTCTGTTTTAATATTTAGATCTTTAATCCACTTCGATTTTAGTTTAGTGCATGGTGAAAGATAGGGGTCTAGTTTTAACCTTTGGCTAGTTGAAATCCAGTTTTTCCAACACCATTTATTAAAGAGGCTGTCTTTCCTCCAGTGAGGACAGTTGGCTCCTTTTTCAAAGATGAGGTAGCTGAGTATGTCTGGAGTTGTTTCTGCATCTTTTCATCTGTTCCACTGATCCTCTGGTCTGTTTCCCTTCCATGCTGTTTTTACCACAGTGGCTTTATAGTGCAGTTTCAAGTTGGGAATTTTGATACCCCCTGCCACGTCCCTATTGCCAAGACTAGGTCTCTTCTGGTTCCAGGTGAACTTTTGGATTGTTTTCTCTAGTTCTGTGAAATATGCTGCTGGAATTTCAATCGGCATTGCATTAAATCTATGTAGCAGTTTTGGAAGTATGGCCATTTTCACTATATTGGTTCCTCCTACCCAGGAACAGGGGATGTCTTTCCATTTTATATCCTCTTCAATCTTTTTTCAGAGTGCTGTAGTTCTCTATGTAGA